GGTCTACTGAGAGGTGGGTGTTGGAAGCAACAGAGCTGCTGCTCATGCCCCTCAGCTGTCACTACCACTAAACTAGTACCAAGGAGACAAGAACAAGCCCCAGTCCACATGGGCAAGTTGAGTCTCTTCGAAGTTGATTATTCTCACAAGTTTTTTTTTTTTTTTTTGAGACAGAGTCTTACTCTGTCGCCCAGGCTGGAGTGCAGTGGTGTGATCTCGGCTTACTGCAAGCTCCACCTCTTAGGTTCACACCATTCTCCTGCTTCAGCCTCCCAAGTAGCTGGGACTACAGGCGCCTGCCACCAGGCCCAGCTAATTTTTTTCTATTTTTAGTAGAGACGGGGTTTCACCGTGTTAGCCAGGATGGTCTCAGTCTCCTAACCTCATGATCCACCTGCCTCGGCCTCCTAAAGTGCTGAGATTACAGACATGAGCCACAGTACCCGGCCTATTCTCACAAGTTTTGTCCTTTGAAGTATCATGTATCTTACATGCAAAGCATTTCTTGTTTCCTAGTTCTAAGCAATACTGATTACCTCAACTGCAGGGCATCAAAGAAAGTTGTCTACAAACATACCTCTTTCACTTCCACAAGACCAGAAAGAGTCAGGGCTGAACACAGCTTAGATGCTGTCTTCACTTTGCTATTGTTATCTGCCGAAAGGAAAATCTCAATTAATAGCTTTATAGGTCAAAGCAGGAAAAATAATAAAGGCTCAATCCTAGGTGGGTTAGCAAGCATTCAAACAATAATAATCAGGTGGGCGTGGTGGCTCATGTCTGTAATCCCAGCACTTTGGGAGACTGAGGTGGACAGATCACTTGAGGCCAGGAGTTCAAGACCAATCTGGCCAACACAGCAAAATCCCGTCTCTACTAAAAATACACACACAAAAAAAAGCCAGGCGTGGTGGCACATGCCTGTAATCCCACCTACTTGGGAAGCTGAGGCATGAGAATCACTTGAACCCAGGAGGTGGGGGTTGCAGTGAGCCAAGACTGCACCACTGCACTCTGGCCTGCACAACAGAGTGAGACTTGATCTCAAAGAAAAAACAAAAAACAAAACAAAACAAAATAACCTATTCTGTTTAATGTACAGATGGTCCCTGACTTAATGATGGTTCTACTTACAATTTTTCAACTTTTATGATGGTGTAAAAGTGATACCCATTCAAGTAGAAACTGTATACTTCAGTTTTCACTAAACTACATGAGATACTCAGCACTATTATAAACAGGCTTTGTGTTAGATGATTCTGCCCAACTGTAGGCTAATGCAAGTGTCCTAAGCATGTTTAAGGTAGGCTAGGCTAAGCTAAGCAATTACGTTTAGTAGGTTAGATGAATTACATACATTTTCGTCTTAATAGCATTTATCAGGACGTAACTCCATTGTAAGATGAGGACAACTGTATATACATTTTAGTGATACTATTTTATTATTATTATTATTTTTGAGACAGGGTCTCACTTTGTCATGAAGTGTAGTGGTATGATCTCGGTTCATTGCAGCCTCGACCTCCCAGGTTCAAGCAATCCTCCTGCCTCAGTGCCTACCAAGTAGCTGGGACTATAGGTGGGCACCACCATGCCTGGCTAATTTTTGTATTTTTTGTAGAGACGGGGTTTCGACATGTTGCCCAGGCTAGTCTCGAACTCCTGGACTCAAGCAATGCACCTGCCCTGGCCTCTCAAACTGCTGGGATTACGGGTATGAGCCACTGTGCCTGGCCATAGTGATACTATTTTAACTTGACAAACACTTTTTTTTTGTTCAAAGTGTTTTTACCTAAGCTCTTAAATGTTATAATTCCATTATTATTGTTTTTTTAATCACTCTCTGCTTCTTGAAACCCCTTCCAGAGGTTGTGAGATAATGACTATGAAAAGAAGCTTATGAACTGCAAAGTGCACAGAAATACAAGTATTCTTTCTGTATAGTTCTTTTTTTCTCTCTGTATAGTTCTGACTGAGACACTGCATTTAGTCATGTAAGGTTTTAACTCCCAGCAAAGAATGCTGATGTATACTACACATAACACAAAGTTCTATTTCCCCATAAACAATGAACACCTTTATATATTTCAAAATACTTTCATTTCTATTATTCTATTATTCTATTTGATGAAATTGTTACACTTTGACTGAAAGTCTAGTGAAAAATATTAAAATCCAGAATTGAATCACTCTGACAGCTATACCACTGATCAAAAAATTTTTTACTTCATGAACACTGTCATTAGTTTCACATGAATCAATAATTACCACATCACTCCCAGAGTTCCAGTCATTATTTTTAAACTTTTTATTTTGAAATAACTATAGATTCACAGGAAGTTGGAAAAAACAAAAAAGTTCTGTATATTAAGGAGGTCTTCACTTCGTCTCTCCCCACAGTAACATCTTACCCAATTATAGCCTGATATGAAGACCAGGAAATTGATACTGATGGTCCACATAGCTTTTTCAGATTTCATTACTTTCATATGTATTGGTTTGGCAGAGGGGGCTTTATAGTTCCAAGTAATTTTATTACATGTGTAGATAAGTATAACCACCACCACATTCAGAACACAGAATTGTTCTATCTATAAAGGAGAAGCATTATACTTCCCCTTTATAGCTCCACACACCCCTTTCCTCCCACTTCTAACCTCTGGCAAACTCTAACCTGATCTCCACTACTATAATTTTGTTATTTCAAGAATATGAATGGAATTGTACAGCACAGAGCCTTTTGAGATTGGCTTTTTTCACTCAGCTACTTCCCTTGATATCCATCCAAGCTGATGTACATATAGCTAGCGTGTTCCTTTTTATTGCTGCATCACTTTCCATATTATGAACATATCAAAGTTTAACTGTTCACCTGCAAAAGGACTTACTTTTAGATGGCAGTTTCCTTCCATTTTGTTACATAATGAGTCAGCCAAAGATTACAATTTCTCCAGATATGTTGCTTCAGATTTTAACAATAACTTATCCCCAAGGAAAAGGTTTTGCTATAGGAATACTGATCTCCCAATGATATCTCCTGCTCAGGGAGATGCAGCACACATGCTCAAAGACTCAACCCTGTCAAATGTGTTTTTCAAGTGAAGATCTCCTTACCTACAGCTGTCTCTACCGGCTCTTTCAGAAAAAGACATCCACCAGGCCGAAGGATCCGGGCGATTTCAGCCAAAATCTCAGCACTGTGCAGAGTGGTGCTTCCCGGGACTAAACCCGACAAAATAATGTCAAAGCTGGATTCTTTGTGGGCAGCTGAAAAGAAGAGGACTCTAATTAGCAATCATCTGGCCTGGGACAATCTCCTGGTCCCTTTCAACCCCCAACAAAGGCTACAGACCTCACCCTGAGAGAATGGACACCACTCGGTATCCATCCAAGAAGCTGGATGAATAGTAAGTGTTTCAAAAAAACATGGAATAGCTACACAGAAAGAACATCATACTTACGGAAATCATCAACTACACTCCTAAGCTCAGTGTATCTCAACTGAAAAACAACACGGTGACGAGCCACCACTATCACATGCCACCCTAAACGAAAACTCAGATATCAAGGAACCACAGAAACGCAACACTCCCACAGAAACCCCTCCAGCCTCATACAGACGACATGGGTGGATACTTACACTGCAACAGCTGGTTGATGTTTTCCACAGACACGTGGCCTTCATTGCCAGTTAACACTTGAAGCTTATCCACCAGACCTTTCAGAGCCTCCACTGGGGATGACTTATCCCAGACCACTGCCACAAACTGGCCAGCAGAGATCCCAAAATCTGCCATTCTTGCAGTGCAGTACTGATGGACCTAAAAACTGCTGGCCAAAAGAGAATCAAGACTGGGCAGAGACAAAGTGCAATTTAATCCATGAGGTATCATAAAATATGATTAGAATCCCAACCTAACTTGTAACCGCCCACTAGGGAATGCTGACAACATTAAAAACCCTACTGTATATGCTAAAGAGTCTGAATACATGAACCCCATTATCTCAAGTCTTCATAATCCCAACATTCCCAAAGAAGGCCGATAGCTTCCTTGGTGAGAATCCTGACTTAGAAGAGTCAACAAAGGGGATTAGAGGCAAGTAAGAAGGTTGGAGGCAGAAAGATGATTTCCTCTTTAAGATAATTCAGCATGAACGGAATGCAAAACACATAGGACATCAATTAGGCAAAGTGTGACTCAGCAAGGAAGGCAAATAAATTGACAGAAATAATCCAACCACAGGTTCCATGTTTTTAAAATGAAACAACACATTTAAAATTTGCAAACTGAATACTGGTATTTTCCCTTTCATCAAAATATGAAAATTTAATTTCACTGACTCTGCAGTGATCAAGAATACTTACTACGTCTATACCATTTAATATTAGCCAGACTATTCAAAGCATCTTCTAAACATTATCTCAACTGAATCTCAGAACAGCCTTAAACTAGATATTATTACCATTTTACAGTCTGGAAACTCAAGGCAATTTACTTTGTCCAAGTCACACAACTAGTGGGTGTTACATGGATAAAGTGAGAGCTGGGATTTGAATCCAAATTCATCTGACCGTAAAGCCCATGCTTTTAACCTTTGGAAATTTCCCTCCATAGATCAACTTTCTCTTCTACTTGATACTCAGGTGAGTATATAATATGCTCACAAAGAAAGTAGTTCAAGAGATAGTACTCTATTCGGTTCCTTTCTTTCTTAAACATTAATGACACAGTTTCCAATTTAACATAGCTCAAATAAATGAAACAAACAATTTCTAGTAGAGGGGTCAAACTTGGATTAGTTTTATGTTGAACATTTCAGACTTTTGCAGAGGTGGCCAACTCAGTGGCAATTATGCCAAAACAGATACAGACTGAATTTAAGCCAAGTCACTACACTCTCGTTTCTTTTAAAATGTTGACTTCAGCTGGGCGCAGTGGCTCACACCTGTAATTTCAGCACTTTGGGAAGCCAAGCCAGGCGAATTGCCTGAGCCCAGCAGTTTGAGACCAGCCTGGCCAACATAGTGAAACCCCATCTCTACTAAAAATACAAAAATGAGCTGGGCATGGTGGTGCACGCCTGTAATCCCAGCTACTCAGGAGGCTGAGGCAGGAGAATCGCTTGAACCTGGGAGGTGGAGGTTGTAGTGAGTCAAGATCGTGCTGCTGCACTCCAGCCAGAGTGAGACTGTCTCAAAAAAAATAAAAACAAAAATAAAAAAATAAAAAATTATAGCTCATGCCTATTATCCTAGCACTTTGGGAAACCGAGGCAGGTGGCTCCCTTGAGTCCAGGAGTTCAAGACCAACCTGGGCGACATGGTGAAACCCTATCTCTACTAAAAATACAAAAATTAGCTGGGTGTGGTGGCAGAATCTGTGGTAGTCTTATGTGGTAATCTTATGTAGTCCCAGCTACTGGGGTGGAGGAGAGGGCCTGAGGCGGCAGGACTGCTTGAGCCCAGGAGCTTGAGGCTGCAGTAAGCCAAGATTCCAGCCTGGGTGACAGAGCAAGACCCTGTCTCAAAAAAACCAAAATTTACTTCAAGTAACTCTCCTCTTTGCCTACAAAACATACCCAGGATGTCAAATATTTAACACTCAAGCATTAAATACTATAGCACTTTGATCTGTCACTCTTTTTCTAAAGGAGTTACTAAACGTTTTATTTGCTAGAGTGAAGTCAATTAGCCTTCTGGATCCACGGCCTCCATAATCTGGCTCTACCTGTATCTCCCACCACTCCAAAGTGATCCCACCTTATTCTATGAAAACCCTTTGCATTTTCCCTTAATAGTGCCTTTTATCTAGCTCCTTCCGTATGATCCAACTGCTAGCGCCCCTAAAAGGATGCTAAGTGTTATTAGACAAGTAGGATTCTTTAGTCATTTAACTCTGTTTTTTTAATGGCAGAGGGCAAGTAAAAATGGAAAAAGAAAAGAAAAAAATAATACAAAAGAGAATAATTCTGGGTTTTTTTTGGTGGGGGGGTGGGAAGGATGGAGTTTCACTCTTGTTGTCCAGGCTGGAGTGCAATCGTGGCTCACCGCAACCTCCGCCTCCCGGGTTCAAGCGATTCTCACGCCTCAGCCTCCCGAGTAGCTAGGATTACAGACGTGCACCACCACACCCGGCTAATTTTGTATTTTTTTAGTAGAGGGGGTTTCTCCATGTTGGTCAGGCTGGTCTTGAACTCCCGGCCTCAAGTGATCTGCCTGCCTCGGCCTCCCATAGTGACGGGATTACAGGCATGAGCCATGTGCTCAGCTAATTCTGTGGTTTTTTCGCTTGTTAGTTCTGTTTTTTGAGACAGAGTCTCACTCCATCATCCAGGCTGGAATGCAGTGACACAATCTCGACTCAGTGCAACCTCCGCCTTCAGAGTTCAAGCAATTCTCATGCCTCAGCCTCCCAAGTAGCTGGAATTACAGGTGGACACCACCACACGTGGCTAATTTTTGTATTTTTAGTAGTGACAGGGTTGTTGGCCAGGCTATTCTCAAACTCCTGACCTCAAGGGATCTGCCCGCCTTGGCCTCCCAAAGTGCTGGGATTAAAGGCATGAGCCTCCGTGCCCGGCCAATTCTGGTTTTTAAATCCCTAAACAGCACACAATCAAGGACTGAAACTTTTAACTGGCACATGATGTCGAGGAAGAACCCCTGCAAACTTTAAGGTGTGCAATATGGGATCAATCTCACATTTAAGAACCAGCCAGGCAAGATGGGATTATAGATTGCTGGACATTAAGTTATAAGAATAAAAATGACCTGTTTCTAGAATGATGCTGGAATAGGTTCTTCCTTGGGATAACAGAAAAGGATGATAAAGACCCCACCTACTAGACTACTGCAACTTTGCACTGTATTTACAGAAAAACCCTCATGAAGGAAACGAGGGGCAAAAGCTTACTTATCAACTAGAGAAAAACAAAAAGCTAAATGTCTAGACCTTTTCAGCAACATTTATGGAGGAAGTTTTATAGGGCACAGGTTTTGAGTGCGGATGACCTAGGGTCCTATCCACCACTGGATCTTATGGGCATATGACCATAGATAAGTTACTAGACTCTTTGAATTTGTTTTTTCATCAGTAAAGCAGGGATAATAACCTCACATTTTGCGAGGCTGCTGTAAGAAGCAAATGAGAAGATAATAATATGTAAGGCACTCGGCAGGCTCTGGCACACAGAGCTCTGTAAAGTAATGTTCTAGAACTCTGGGCTTCCATTTTTCTGTGGCTAGTTTACCTGCCTTTGCTTCAAATAGTCCTATAAAACCCTGTTTCTCCTTAGCCATGCCTGATAGTAGGACACCCCAGGGAGTGAGAGGAAGCTGCTTTTTCATTGTTAGAATTAGTGTAAGAGCTGTGCTTTATGATCTTTGGACAGTACTCCAGTGGGACTGTGTCAGTAAATTAGAAGAATGTAAAATGCTTTGCGTTCTGTATCTCCCAAAACTAACCTTATGGTAAGAGGAGCTTATGAACTACATTAATTAAACATCAACCCTCAAAAAACCGGCATAGCCACTACTTTCAGTCAGCATTTTTCAAACAAAATAGGAGATAATATTCTTTCAAATATCTAAAACCAAAGTGTGATACTTTTCATCATCAGAGTTTTATGTTGCTGTTGTGAATTTGTCTTTTAAAACAAAAAAACCCATAACGAAAAAGTGTCCCGTATCTAAGACAACATGCTCAGAAGCTGTGATTCAGGACCCAGCTTCATAATAAGAGGTGGCATCATTGTCATGTCACTGAGCTCATTAGGTGCCTCTCCAACCCTGACTGAGGCACACACATGTCCATGGCCCTTCTGAAATGTTACTGGCAGGCAGTAAAAGCAGATGTCTGAGAACAGACGGTTTTTCAGGTGCCCAGTAAGCATCAAATCTTGAGGCATTTGGTCTCTCTTCTGGTGAAAGGGGACAAAAGAAAATAGTAAGACTGAAATTTGGGCTTCAGATCAAAAAATCCTTTAACTTGGGTGCATAAAGAATTCCAAGAACACTGACAGTTATCAGAAAGGAAAATCCTAATTAAAATTAACTAACTGGGCTGGGTGCGGTGACTCACACCTGTAATCCCACACTTTGGGAGGCCTAGGCAGGTGGATCACCTGAGGTCAGGAGTTCGAGACCAGCCTGGCCAACATGGAGAAACCCTGTCTCTACTAAAAATACAAAGATTAGCTGGATATGGTGGCCTGCACCTGTAATCCCAGCTACTTGGGAGGCTGAGGTAGGGAGAATTGCTTGAACTCAGGAGGTGGAAGTTGTAGTGGGCCAAGATCTTGCCACTGCACTCCAGCCTGGGCAACAGAGTGAGACTCCATCTCAAAAGAAAAAAAAAATTAAAAAAATAAAATTAACTGAAGCTCTTGTGCACCTACATGTCACTGCCTGGCCTCTGGGTGACTAGTGCCAAGTGGGCCTAACCAGCCTGCTGTGCAATCCAAGTCAGCCATTGCCCCTCTCTGGGCCTCAGTTTCCCTGCCAGCTTTAGCAGAATGGTAGGAAGGCACAATTACAATCTGCAAATGAGACCTAAGAAACCTACTATGTGCCTGTCCCTACATAGGAGACAGACAAGAAGACACTTGTTCCCTGCCCTCAAGAGAATTCTCTGTCTAGACACTTAGACTAGGACCTTAGAGATTTTTTTTTTTTTTGGCAGAGTCTTGCTCTGTTGCCCAGGCTGGAGTGCAGTGGCACGATCTTCCCTGACTACAACCTCCGACTCTGGGGTTCAAGCGATTCTCCTGCCTCAGTCTCCCAAGTAGCTGGGATTACAGGCACCCACGACCACGCCCAGTTAATTTTTGTATTTTTAGTACAAATGCAGTTTCGCCATGTTGCCCACGCTGGTCTCGAACTCCTGGGCTCAAGTGATCCACCCACTTCAGTCTCTCAAAGTGCTGGGATTACAGGCATGAGCCTGGCCCAGAATTTTTTTTTAAAAAGTGAGAATCAACAATGAAACAAGAATATCTCCAGGCATTTGGCATGTGTCAGGAATTAGAGTTTCAGAAAGGATACCCAAATGTTAGTTTCCACAGGAAAGGCTCATTTAAAGCTGGGTGGACAGAACTCAGAAACAAATCCTCATGGAGAGGAGTGTTTTACCTAAAACAGAAATATGGATCTAAAATTTTAACCTTTGGAGTAAGTTTTGGCTTAGGAGGTCTTCCCCACACCCGTGCAGGGGAAGCGGATATTCTGACAAGACTAGAGTTGAAAAGGGGTGTGCAAAGCACAACTTTCACAGATACAAAGATGGGATCTGAGTGCAAACACAAAATCGACAGAATCACATGCTCTTGTCCTTAGTTACTCTTAGTCCAAAAACCATTTACTTCTTTCTATTAAGCCTTCTCTGATGACACTCCCGTGAAGGGCTGTTAGTGACTGGACCGTGACCTCCTTGAGCCATCCAGAGCTGGGCACTCAGTAACGTCAGAATGAAGGGCACCAGCCTTTCCCGAACTTGCAGATCCTACAAATCACCCGAGGGAGTGGTTAAAATGAGATTCCTGGACCACACCCAGAACCACTCAATCAATCCTCCAGGACAAAGGCCTGGCTGGCTGTCCTAGTAACAAGCATCCTTCCGATCTGGATATTTAACTATACCAACTCAACACGCTGGGGATTCGGACAAGTCGCAGGTTCGAAATTATAACCGTGAGCTCAGGTACCCTGCCAAGCTTTCGTGCTTTGTTGCCAAGTATCCCTAGGGACCGAAACTTCACGGGGACTGAGGCCCAAGGTCACAACGACTGGCTACTGGTAGGACCGGGTCTCAGAACCAGGTCTCCCGGACCCCAGAGCTCGGAGTCCTTTCTCCTCAGCGTGGTGTCCCCGGGGCCTCAGAGTAGGGCCGGCTGCGCAAGGGACGAGGCAGCCTGGGAACGGCAGAAATTCCCGGTCAGGACCCCGGGGCGGTTAGGGCCGGGCCTGGCCCCGCACACCAACTTCTCAGGAATAAACCCGCCGGGACTCTCAGCTGGGCGTCCGTGGCTGCGTTCGCATCGAGGGACAGGGGTAAGGAAGAGGAAATGAGAGTATATAGGGACGAGGGTGGGCCGGGAGGGGACAGTTGAGGGAGCTCTGGCGCTCAGCCGGCCCCCACTACTCTCACCTGCTGCCTGGGCTCGCTCCCGGCTTCTCCTCAGCCGTCGACTCCACGCCTCGCGCCTCTCGCGAGAGGAGGAGGCTCCACGGCGCGACTACTTCCGCTCTCCTAGGGCAGTGGTCCCGACGCTGCCCGTCGCGTCGCCGTGGGCGACGTGCCCGCTTCCAAAATGGCGACGGCGGCGGCCGTGTCTGGTGCGCTTGGCCGGGCGGGCTGGAAGCTTCTGCAGTTGCGGTGCCTGCCCGGTGAGGGGGCTGCCAAGCTGGGGAGAAACGGGGAGCGCGGAGGGGGCGCGAGGCCGGCTTGAGCTGGGTTCGGCGGTGGGGGGAAGAGGCCGTTGGGGCGGTCCGCGAGCAAGGTGAGGTGAAGGGCATCGGCGCGGGCTCAGGCGAGCTGCCTGGTTAGCTTCAGCCCTGCCCCGCTGCGGGGCAGGTGCAGGGGGGCAGGGCCTGTCACCCCCATTTCATGGAGTTAGCGGAGCCTCAGAGAGGGCTGGGGGTACGAAGGTCACGCAGCCTGAGCCTGTTGGTTACAGAACTGGCAGTCGCAGACCCATTCTCAACTCCATTGCCAAGTCCACTAGAAGGACAGGTGGACACGGCCACAGAGAGCCTAGTCCATTGTTTCCCGAAAGCTAGTCGTTTCCCCACCACTTCATGAACTCTGTGATACTCTCTTACCACCTTTGCCACTATGTACTCAGTATTTTTATTTTTAAATAGGAGTTCTGAAAGAGGAAACTTCATATCACTATCGTAAATGGAAAACTAATATCGCCTTCCTTAATTAGAATGTATGCATTAACACTTTAGCATACATACATAACTGATGAAACGTTCACCGTATTTCACCTAAAATCTTCTCATGACCCTCAGTGGTACTACAGTCACACTTTGCATCCGCTCCTTCCTTTTCAAAGTTTTATGGATATTTGTGCCATATCTTTCAGTACGTGTATTAAAATATTGATATTTTTACACATACGATTCTGTTTCCTTTTTTTCTTTTTCTTTTTTTTTTTTTTTTTGAGACAGGGTCTAGCTCCTCAGCCTCCCAAGGAGCTGGGACTACAGGTGCGTGCCACCCTACTTGGCTAATTTTGTTGTTAACAGGGAGTCTCACTCTGTCACCCAGGCTGGAGTGCAGTGGCACAGTCTCGGCTCACTGCAACTTCTGCCTCCCTAGTTCAAGTGGTTCTCCTGCCTCAGCCTCCCGAGTAGCTGGGGTTACAGGCTTGAGCCACCATACCCAGCTAATTTTTTGTTTTTAGTAGACGGGATTTCACCATGTTGGCCAGGCGGGTCCCAAACTCCTGACCTCAAGTTATCCGCCTGCCTCAGCCTCCCAAAGTGTTGGGGTTACAGGCATGAGCCACCGCCTAGCCCCCTTTTGTTGTATTTGTATAAAATTCCAAACTAAAGATGTGTAGTTAAAGTAATGCCTATGACCCCGCAGATCTACCAAGAGAAGTGAAGGTATGTATCTACAAAAAAGTTAGTACAAGTATGTTCATAGCAATTGTATTCATAGTAGCCAAACACAGAAACAGTCCAGTTGTCTAGCAACAGAATAATATTTTTTATGGAACACTATTCTGCGATAAATACTAAAAATCAGTCAAAGAGAAAGCTGGACACTAAAGTGATAAGGACCGTTTTTAATCAGTAATAACTGTTGCAGTAGGGAAAAGGGTCTAGCATGAACTGAGCGCAACCTTGAGTTTAGTGCATGCAGAAGTAACTGGGTGTTTCAAAGAAAAAAATGAGGGAGGAGGTCGGAAGGCAGGTGGGGACTCAGTAGAGTCAAGAAAGTGAATAATTATAAATGAGATTGGGCTGCTAGCTGGCAGTTAACAAAGTTAGGATTCTGTTTTCCCAAAGGGAGACGTAAGCCCTATCCTTAAGTGTTATCCAGAACAAACAGTAAATTTTTTCTTGACAGCCTGAGTTTTCTCAGGCAGGCACTTTAAAGGTGGGTAGGGTTATCGTAAGGGATGTGGCCCTGAGTGATGGTTATGTTAGTGTGTGTTCAAGTCTTTATAGGCCAAGGTTGAGGCCTAAATAAGAAGAGGGCTCAGAGGAGTCTGGTTAGAGCCTGATCAAGGAGACAATCTTTGCCAGATCTACTGATATGCATAAAAATATGGATCAATCTCAAAAATATACTAAGTGGGCCAGGTGTGGTGGGTCACACCTGTAATCCCAACACTTTGGGAGGCCAAGGTGGGAGGGTTGCTTGAGCCAAGGAGTTCAAGACCATCTTGGGCAACATAGCGAGACTCTGTCCCTATTTAAACTTAAAATAAATAAATATATATATA